ATTGCACAAGTCCCTTTTAAAATGTATTGAGTGATTATCTAGCTATTTGGGGCTGTTGAAGAGTGTTGTTCTAGTGCATTGTTTTCTTTCTTTCTTTCTTTCTTTCTTTTTTCATTTTCTCTATTATTAAATGGATAATAAGAATTCCCTCATTTTCTACTCACCACTATGCTGATGGAGGGGTGGGTGAAGTGTTTGAGTCTACAAAACATTTTAGGAGTTTCAGGGGAAAACAGTGTTTCAGCCAAGGCGACCTCTTCTTCAGACGTAATAAAACAACAGAAAAAACAGAACATTCCTCCATACTGCTCCTGTGGTGTCATTCAAGTGTCCGCAAGAAACGACATTCATGTTTGACTTAAAACAAGGTCATTTACACTGTGTTTTAAGCCTAAATTTCCACTACCGGAAGTGGCGATGCTAGCAGACGTAGCCACACAGTGGTGAGGTTTTGTTAACGCACCTCTGAGGAGGATATCAGAGGACATTAAGGCTAAAAACACGGTGTAAATGATGCAGTTTCGAGTCAAATATGAATGTTGGGGCTTACGGACACTTTGATGACACCGCACAAGCAGTATGGAGGAATGGTATGTTTTTTTTCTGTTTGTTTACATCTGAAGAAGAGAGCACAATTGACTTCAATTATATTGGATTCAGCTGCAATGCTGTTTATTCTTGAAACTCCAGAAGTGTTTTGTGGACTCAAACACTTCACCCACTCCTCCATTGGCATAGTGGTGAGTAGACAATGAGTGGATTTTTATCCCTTTAAACTACGGCTCATCAAAGGGGTTTTCCAGGCGGATGGGTGGTTAAGGTTGGCCGGGGTGTGTCCAGTATTATATTCTTTAATAGGGCCCAACATTTCTAGTGGCGCCCCAGCAACTATGCCTCACTAATCTGTTCCATGTCACTAAATGACCACTATGATGCGGCCTTTCTTTTTTACCGATCTACAATATAGATTGTACTCGTCTGCTCTGCTGATATTTGTGTTTCATACTGAAGGCAGGATTACAAGGTTAGAAGTGAAAACTATTGAGGATTGGATGAGACAGAATTATCTTTCTCCCTGCTTTCACATTTGGTCATTATCTGAATAGGATGCACCAGGCTGGCTGTGATCCATGTCATTCAATTACTCCCACAGCAAGGCTAATTTTAAGCATCTCCAGCATTTACACACACTGCAGGAGTACATTTTCTACCTCCCAGTCACTACAGCAAATGGAGGTGAGTGAGAATAGAGAACATGGAGAGCACCGTGGGAGGCATGACCGAGCCCTTTCGGTAAAGAATTGGAAAAGTGCTGCCCACAAATACGAGTGTGACAGAGAGAATTAACTCTAAAAACTAGGCTACCTGCTGTCATTTGAGGATTCAAATAGTTATTTCTGTAATGACCAACAATGCAACAGGCTGCACATACAAGATTCAGTACAGGAACAACAGTCTACGTACACCATCAAATGAACTGCATGTGCAAAGACTGCTCCTAAAAGCAGAATAACAT